CCTTCACTTAGGGCGGTCACAGATCTGGCCCGCCTTCACTTAGGGCGGGCACGAGGCTTGCTGGGGGCCTATGCCCAGAACATCTGCATGTCGGCTAGGCCCCTCTGAGGGCTCAGTCCTCACACATGTCTATACAGTATATTTTATTATTCACGTAGGTTTTTTTTTTTTTTAATAAATGAATAATTAAATAAAAAACTAACACTATATTAGTATATTCTTCATTATTAAACTATATTAAAATTTTTCGGGGAATAACATTTTGTCCCGCCCTTCGGGACTTGCAGAAGAAGCCTATCAATCTCATGAAGTCCACCGAACCCAGATTTGACATGCCATTAGCACGCCACTATGGTCTTCTACCCAGAAAGATTCGGGACCATCATATCTGGATCAACCCTGACAAGTCGTCCAGATGCAGATATAATAACATCACGTTCCATATAGGGAAGAAAGGCCAAATACAGATTCCTGACGAATCAACAGACGGATCAACGGAGGTGGAATTTTCTGCCAGAAAGTGGCCTGTGACCCAAGAGTGAGAGCAGAGGAGCGAACAGCCAAACAGTGGCAATAGCCAAATAACCAAATAGCCAAATAGCCAAACGGTTGCCAAATAGCCAAATCCTGAGCAGTCTGTGGTGAAATGGTGAGACCGCACAAGCGAATAGCCAAACAGTGCGATCAAAACGGCAAATAGCCAAGTAGCCAAGCAGCCAAACAATGAGACCAAACGGCAGATAGCCAAATAGCCAAATAGCCAAACCCTGAAACCAAACAGGCAAATGGCGGAAACGGAAAGACGAAAAGCGCAAATAGCCTAACAGCCAAACAGTGAGACCAAAACGGCAGATAGCCAAATAGCCAAACGCTGAAACTAAATGGGCAAATGGCCAATGGAAAGACGAAACGAGCAAATGCCCAACGTTCATACTCTCAAAACCACCATATCCGAAGGACCTGCCCAGACACGGACTGAGAAGAACAGCTGTTTTCTAAGTTTTGCCGCTAGAATGAATGCCTTGCTGCGATTCCCGCTTTCTGCTGAGTTTTCTAAGTCTGTGTATGTGCGTGCTTGCTCCTCTGCGTGCCTGTCTGCATGCTTGTCGGCTCGAGTGCAAGCGAGACCCGCAGGGGAAATTGTTTGTTGGGAGGCCCCGCAGCCTGAGGCCGTGACTTGGAGGGTTGCAGCGGGAGTAGGCCTGTGACACTTAGAGCAGCGGGGAAAAACACTCAGGTAGCAGGTAGGCCGGTACCACCCGAAGTAGCGGTAGATGTGTTGGGGACTGGAGGCCGAGCAGAAGAAGACAAATGTTGGCATTTGTACAGGCCCAGTAGCGGTAGGCTAGGTCTAGGTGGGTACCAGTCCAAGCAGCCTGTAGTCTAGGGCATGTGCGGTCAATATCAGAGCCTGCAATGATGTTGCCCTCCGAAAGGGATCAGGTACCGGTTGCTTGGAGACTGTGCGACCTGGAAGTCACCGCTCAAGGAGGCTGCTGCCTCGCTATATCTCCAGGCAAAGCTACCTTCTTCCCCCGAATATAACGTACGGTCATTATAGCTGAATTTGGCGTATCTTTCAATATAAGTACAGCTATAATGACCGTACGTTGTATTCGGGGGAAGAAGGTAGGAGCTCTTCCTCATTTCCTGCGTGCAAGTTTTGGCGACACGCTGCTGTAGCGCATGGTGGATCAGTACTGCTGGGGAAGAAGGAGCGCTGCTGGGGAAGGAGCGCCCAGCTCTCCACCTTGGCTATGGTGGAGGAGCTCGGGCAGGCGGAGGGGGAAGAAGGGGACTAGGAGAGGGGAGCGGCAGGGGTACTTACCTGGCTATGGTGGATTCCATCATCATCACCTTGGTGAGCGCTGCATCTGGAAGGCCCCCGTTGGGGTAGAGCTGCACCAAGAAGCTTCGAGACGGAGTCCGGCATGGCGGCCTGAGTGGAAGTGGCCATAGCTGCTTTGCGTTGTCTTTTGCATGTCAGGGCTAGGCCCTTCGTAGTCAGCCTAAGTGGAGAAGACGGAGAAAGACGGCCATGGCTATGGTGGACCTCACGTTGTGCTGGCAGTAGAAGAGGGATTCGGACATTGATTCTGGTTCTGCCATCCATAATAATTATTATTTATTGTTTGAATAAGACGGGAGGAGAAAAGGAGGAAGAGTTTAATTGACAAGGAGGAGGAGGATTATCATCGGTCTTTGCTGATGTACATCTTCTTTCTTTCTTTCTTTCTTTCTTCTTCTTCTTCTTCTTCTTCTTCTTCTTCTTCTTCTTCTTCTTCTTCTTTTTCTCTCTCTCTTTCTCTCCTCTCAAGTTCATTCATTCCTTTTTGCAATTGGACGGCATTGTACTTTCTCATGAATTTGCACGTCGAAATTGGCCAGGATCGTAACAATATGCTACTCACAGCACACTACTTACCACATCGATGAAGAGGTCTTCGCTTCCCGCTGCAAGATACTCGCCATCATGTGAAAAGCTGAGCGTGCGCACGGGCCACCTGTGGGTCGAACAGAGTAGTACACCACAACATTACGGTCAACCATCGCCAAAGTTGTGAGAAAAAGAAGGGGAAAGATTTTTTTTTTTCTTGTAAAATTGTAAAAAACACTTTTGCAACTGCTCCAGACGACTTCTAAACCGCTACCGGGAACTGATATACCGGATCCAACCTGGTGCACCAGATCTGGTTCCAACATGATGTACCAGTTTGGATCTGGCACACGAGGTTGGATCCCGACCAGATTGGATCCAGATCTGGTATATACCAGGCTGATTGGATTCAGATCTGGTGTATATACCAGATTGATTGGATCCAGATCTGGTATATACCAGATTGATTGGATCCAGATCTGGAGTATATACCAGATTGATTGGTNTTGGTTCCAGATCTGGTGTATATACCAGATTGATTGGATCCAGATCTGGTGTATATACCAGATTGATTGGATCCAGATCTGGTATATACCAGATTCATTGGATCCTGATCTGATATATACCAGATTGATTGGATCCAGATCTGGTATACACCAGGTTGGATCTGGTATACCACGTGGGGGCGAGCTGCATGGCTGGGAACTGCCAGATGTGGTTTGAACTTTTTGTGGAGCACATGGCAGGGGACATGCTATTAGGTAATCTGGAACAAACATGGATGACTCAGAAAAAAAAACAATGATCAACAGCATCAGTTGTTGTTTCTTTTCCCCTTCCGTGCGCAAACTTCTTTTTCCACACATCCTACTACGATGCTGTTGTGCAATAAGCCTACCACAGACCATGATGTCCTCAAGAACTCACCGCACCTCAGGCCCGAAACAAAAACGCTTGAGAGGAAACCCCGAAGGGTAAAAACCCCAAAGGGTAAGCCCCCAAGGGTAAACACGCAAGAGGAAACCCCCAAAAGGAAACCCCCAAGGGTAAACCCTCAAGAGGAAACCCCCAAGGGTAAACCTTCAGTCCTCAAGGGTAGAATCCCAAGAGGATAAACCCTGATTATGATGTGACCCTAGACTGGGCCAAACGATGCAAGTAAATGAAATGGTGCCGTGACCGATAAATGTGTCTTATCCGTCTGGCGAAGGTTATCCACTGCAGACGCAAGTACGACAAATCTGTCTGATGGAGAGCTTATCCTCCCTTCCTGGCAAGTGCAAAATAACTTATTTTGCGCTCCAAGTGCACGTCACCCCCTTAGAGACATGTCAAGATAAAATAAAAGAGAAAAAGACCCCGCCAAGATGCCCTGATATTCAGGGAACTGAGGCTGCTGAACACACTACAACACCCTCGTAGGCGAGGAAGCACAGGAGTGTACTAACGTCTTCCGCCGAATATGAAGTACGGCCATTATAGCTGTAATTGGTGCACCTTTCAGTCTAGACACCAGCGCTACTGACCGTATGCAGGTCCTACAGACAGCAGCTTCATAACCAGGCCAAGGCCTGTGATGCACGTCCAGCCATGGGCCGTCACTGGATATCTAGCTCTCTGGAGGTCAAACAGAAGACACTGAATCTTCTTCTCTCATGTAAAACAGCTGAGCGCACTGACTCGCCTTCCCATCTACTTTACTTCCTCCCCTTCTTTTTTTTGTTTTCTTTTTTTTTGGGGGGGGGGTGGGGCGGGGGAACTTCACCCCATTCTTCATATCTATCATCTATGCTATACGAGAAATGCCAGGCGAACCTTCAAAAACGGAATTATTTTATTCCGTCCATCTGATTGCATCTGGATTAAAACTTGGGGTCTATATCTCAACAGTTCGTGGGTGTACCAACTGAGCTAGGCCCGTCAGTGCCAAACCTATTCCCTGAAATTTCTCTTCTTTTGTCATACGTGATTCGAATGATCTGCTACATTGTTTGTGTAATCCTTGCGTGCTGAATTCGTCGCAGCTCTCTGCCTCACTGCATTTTTTATGGATGGACACCTGCCACCATTTCATCCGCACCGTAAAATGTTCGATGATTCTCATCAACGTTGCTGATCCCCTATTCACCCCCTTTTTGAATACTCACCCAGAAACCCCGCTTTCCACCCTGCCCCCAACTAATTTCTGGCATGTAATCCAAGTATACTCCCCTTCCATCAACATCTTTTTGAAATCAGAAGAGGATCTATAGATTCTATACACAGAACACTGAGAGAACAGGTTATAGTTCGAAAAAAGAAAAAGAAACAATTCAGTACAGAGAGAGCGAGAGTGCCAATGTGTGTGTGTGTGTGTGTGTGTGTGTGTGTGTGTGTGAGAGAGAGAGAGAGAGAGAGAGAGAGAGAGAGAGAGAGACAGACAGACAGACAGACAGACAAACAGACAGAGAG